ATTCACTGCTAAATTAGGGACGGCTAGCGCGAAATGCAAAACAAACCAAACTTTGTTATTCAAAAAACTTAGGTTTGTCATATAATAAAATCCGAATAAAGAATATATTCATGAATTTCATACGTTCATCGTTTGATATATTAAGGTAGTTAAAATGTTTTCAAGAATTAATTAAGTGTATTAAAAATTGCAGCGTAGGTAGTTCCTTGCTACAAACGTTGATGTTGAATGAAATATCCTACACTTCTTCTGAATTTTTGTTTGTTTGTAATTAAACGCAAAGCTGCACAATGAGCTATCTGTGCTCTGAATTTTTGTTTGTTTGTAATTAAGCGCAAAGCTGCACAATGGGCTATCCGTGCTCTGAATTTTTGTTTGCTTGTAATTAAACGCAAAGCTGCACGATGGGCTATCTGTGCTCTGAATTTTTGTTTGTTTGTAATTAAACGCAAAGCTGCACAATGGGCTATCTGTGCTCTGAATTTTTGTTTGTTTGTAATTAAGTGCAAAGCTGCACAATGGGCTATCTGTGCTCTGAATTTTTGTTTCTTTGTAATTAAACGCAAAGCTGCACAATGGGCTATCTGTGCTCTGAATTTTTGTTTCTTTGTGTTAAGCGCAAAGCTACACAATGAGCTATCTGTGCTCTTCCCACTACGGGTAGCGAAACCCTGTTTTCTATCTTTGTAAGTCCGCAGCCATACCACTGTGCCACTGGTGGGGCTCCTCTGAATTAAAAATATATCTATAGTTTCAGACTTTATGAAATACAGCTGTCACTTAAATATCTTTGCTTTGTTTATTATTATTATTATTTTATCTAGAGCCGAATGCATGTTAACGTACATAAACTGATTTCAAAGATTTTGTTCAGAAAACTGTAAACACTTTTTATTTATTTTCACACACACACACACAAAAACACTTATAAAAGAATTGTACACCATTAGGTCTAATGGAAAACATTCTGTATGGACTTAAGCACTAAGCCCTCTTCCGGGTCGTGTTTACCAGTTGTTCCTTGTGTTACTTTGTACATATATTGGGTGATGTTATTTACAAATGTCCATAGCCTTCACTAGACATGAAAAGTATGAGTAGTTGAATTGATAAATATGTGAGCAAACTTCAAACACAATAGGTAAAATGAACAACATTACTCGTTTTTAGATAATCTTCTTTTCTTTTTAAGCTTTACAGCAAAAACCTAGGAAACTTACAGGCCACTTTTTGTGCAATTTGTGTCCATAGAAAGAAGAGATTATAACTACTCTTCCGGTGGGTTATATATCCTAAACAACAGAGACTGTTTGTACGAGTATTTTCTTTAAAATAGAATTTTATTTACTTCAATGAATTAGGGTGTTCACTTACTGTACTACAACCAGCGACTAATAAAGTCATATTGTAGATGGATGACGCCAGTGCTAACTCACCCATCCTCCAAGTTGAGAGTATTTTCACATAAACCACTCCCCCCCCCTACAATTCTTACACAATGTACGAACAAAGCATGGAATAGAAAGACTGATTTAGGCGAAAAGTAATCAGCCAGAAAATTATGGAGATCCAGATTCCAGGTCAAGAAAACTCGGTAAAGGAACGGCCTTTATTTCTGTTCTGATTCCTCTTACGAAACCGGCAAGTAGATGAGGTTAGGGTGCGGAAATATTCCCTTCAGGAAGGAGCTTATTTGGATATTGCTGGCTACGAGACCGCTAAATCAGAAGCTGAGTGGTGTAAGCTCTTTACAAACATCACCGATCAGACACACACATACACACACACAAACAATCGAGCGATCTATTCACGAAATCACAGCTATCTCGAATTCGCACGTGACACCCTCCCCTCTCACTCCTCTACCATCGCTAGGGCAAAAAGAAGAAGAAAAATAAAGGTTTGAACCATTCTTTATCCAAAACTTTACCGGGTCGGAGAAATCGGCGTCTAAGAACAACCCTCTGATTGTTCCCAAATAAAAGACGAAGCATTACCAGCCTAAGACTTCAGAAGATGGAAGGTTTCGTAATGACTTTTAGGCATCGTAGCATGGCGAAGAATCGTATGTACAAGCCAGCTCATATTTCTCCGCTGAACAACCAGTAGACGCTAGAGGCGAGGACAATGAAGACCAGAAGGTGTAATCGTTTTCTTTGAACTCCCCGTTTGGTAGCACGCACCGGCTCATTAGATCCATTTTCTTGTTTGGTCAGATTTGGAAGGCGTCACAAAAAAATAGACATAGGCGTAGCATTCGGTTCAGAGAATTACTGAGGTGAACATGTTCAAAAGAAAGTAGGATTTTAAAAAAAGTCCGTGATATGTACTTTTATTGTTGCCCTCCTATTGGCTCACCGGTAAGTCTGAAAGCTTATAACACTAATAACCGGATTTCGATACCCGTAGTAGGCACAGCACAAATAGACCATTGTGTACCCTTGTGCTTAACAACAAACAAACAAACAAATTTCATAGTTACTAAGGTTCGTTTGTTTGTTTTTTGTAAAGCCACAGTGGGCTATCTGCTATGTCCACCGCGAGATAAATCGAAACCCGGATTTTAGTGTTGTAAATCTGTAGACTTACCACTGTCCCATCGAGGGACAGTTACTAAGGTATATACGTTTATTTCGTATTCTATGATAAAACATCGAGAAGTCGTTAACAATTTATTTAAAACTGTGGATACGTTGATTTAAAATCTATGCTGAAAACATTATGTACAAAATTATGTTCGGTGACGGGATTCGGACCCGCGACACTAAGATTGCGAGTCGAGTGCCCCAGCCATCCGGCCATGTTAGACTACGTGGTGAAGAAGAAACTAAACTGGGGGTGTTTAACATAACATCTTTATAGTTAGTTTCATTAAATCTTGTTATTTATCACGTGTGTGAAAGCATTTTCAATTATTGTTGCACTTATAAAGATGATTTAGCATTTTGTGGTTAGTGTGTGGAATCAGAACTAAATTAAATCCCCTCAATTGGCCGAATTTTTTGAAGTACTGTTAAAATTAGGGTCGAACTTATCGTTTTCAGCGAAAGTATCCACCAGCTGATACAAGTTAATGTAATTTAAACTTTATAGTTTATAATCTTTTGATATATTGATGTACGCAGTTATCTTCGTCAATGTATTTTAATAACATTACTAGTATTTTAGTTTTGATAAATATAATTAGTTCTTAATAATTCCGATAAAACCTGGAAGGTGACCAAACTTCACGCAACGCTACTTGCTCCATTTAGACATCGGCCATAAACACGTTGTACAATTGCTTTTATACGTACGTTTACTACAAACTGTTTAGCTTTATTGACCATGCATAAGTCATTTTTAGCATATAGTCTAGAAACATGCATAACCTGTTATTCACCATGTTTATCACGATCAGAAATTCGTTTTAAAGTAAATACGACTGCAGCATGTTAGTTACCTATTGGTTTCCTGCCACAAGCTTACTTATCAAAAATTTTATTTACTAATTGCTTTACATGTTTACCTAATATGTGCGTCTAATTGAAAAGAAGCTAAAATAAGTTAAAGATATACTTTCCTGGTTATTCCATGGTTGGATACTTGCTGATTCGGTAATATGAATTGTTTAAGTGCATTACTAATAACATATAGGGGTTAATCCTTTAGCTTAAATTGTAAAGAGGTACCGGATTCGATCCCGGGACTGGCAAAATATTAGAGTACCACTCAAGGTCGTGCATATAATATACACCGAATACTAAGACTCACCTTTCTTGGTGACACTCATGTGATCATGGCGATGACTGTCACATGAGCCTAGACTTGAGTGACCGTTTACGATTGGAACAGATCCGCCGAGTCCGGTATTGGGACCCAACGTAACCGGTGATGAGGGCGGAGGTACGCCGTGAAAATGATGAGATGTGCCTGTTGGGTACCATGGCCACGGCTGGGCACCGTTTAACATCCGTAATTTGTCGTAAACCGACTCTGGCCCAGTCATGGGAACTTGAGGAGAAGATTGGTGATGGTCCTTCTGAGCCGAAAGGTTCCTTAAAACTCTATTGATTGAAGAAACCTAGATGTAATTATTAAAATGCTTTAGATTTTGTCAAATATGCTGGTATATAAAGACCTATAAGTGACATTTCAATACATATAAATGTATATAAATATATATATACATACTAGTATTTCACTCAATTCGCATTCCTTTCTAACCATGCAAAATTTAATATTTGGCCAATTAAGATATGATTTTTATAAAAGTTCTTTTAAAACTAAAAACCATCTCCGGCAGTGTTTATTCTGTGAGTACCCACCCCACATCCAAAAGTTTAAATGAGTCGTCCAAGTTTCTGTACTTGTTAATACAATTCTCAGAACTTCTTTGTTTTTGTTTGTTTTTGAATTTCGCGCAAACTACACAAGGGCTATCTGCGCTAGCAGTCCCTAATTTAGCAGTGAAAGACTAGAGGGAAGGCAGCTAGTCATCACCACCCACCGCCAACTCTTGGGCTACTCTTTTACCAACGAATAGTGGGATTGACCGTCACATTATAACGCCCCCACGGCTGAAAGGGTGAGCATGTTTGGTGTGAAGGGGATTCGAACCCGCGACCCTCAGATTGCGAGTCGAGTGCCTTAACCACCTGGCCATAAAAAAAGTTTTAGAAAATTACACAGAAAATCCATTCGGGACTCAAATAAAGACAAAAACATATTCAAACATGTTTATTGCACTGCCTTTAAAATATAAAAATTTAAAATATTTTTATTAACATAAAATGACATAAACAATACTCTGAAAAATAACTTTTAAAAATCATTTAAAACTTTTACAGTATAAAAAGTTTTTTGTTGAATTTTAACAACAAATACACAAAAAAATAAACATGCACCTTTAAGAGTCGCTCTAAATAGGTCTTACACCTATCTATATAAATAATATGCTTGCGTTTTTCTGTCCGGATCTTTTCTCGCAAATTTGTCAATTAAACGCTACACGCATGCGCAGTTCGTTCAAAAACCACATGCTTATCAAGTTGTGAACACGCATTCAGAAGTTTCTGCATATCCAGCTAAGTTTGCCTTCATTAAAACTTTACCTTTATCTTACTTTGCAATAATTTAGCTTCGGTTCGTTTCATAGACTGCTATAAACATCTTTTAGCTATTTTTTCTTTATTACGAGTTTAATTATTTGTTTAAACTCTTAAAACCTGTCATACACTGAACACTCATAACTGTTTCATACTCTGTACACTATTATAAATACTATTACTATATGTTACTCTTTAATTTTTGTGTAGTTTTATCAAATACAGTTATGTCTATGTGAGTTTGTTTGCATGAACGCGTAAAAAAATTTCAAGTAGACTAGGACTTATCGATATAACATATCATGCCTGCAAGAAAGCGTAGCTTAAATAGCGTACGTGAAAATGAAAGAATAAGGAAAATTCGAGCGAAAGGCACGGAAACTACTGCAAATGTTTTGAGGTTCGCGGCTAGTTTACCATATAATTGTTTTTAGCGTATTTTAATTTTCTCTTCTTCTTTATATTCATAAACAATGGACTGACAAACATCCGTTTTTCCAAACAATTGTTATTCTGCTTGTAGAACGTGTCGAAATTCAGCAAATTATATAGAGTTGAGTTATTTCAAACCACGGTTTAAAACTAAAAGCTATCGAATTCATATTAGAAAAACTTGTTCATAGAACTTCCTTGTATATATCATTTGTCAATATTTGCACCTTCGGGGATATACCTTTTTAACCAATCGAATGGCCGTACCCTGGATAAAGCTACGTAAAGTTGACCATGAGAAAAAATTGGCCCAACTAAGTGCAACCCCGACGGACAGACATATGTTTTTCCATAATATCTTGCTATAAGACAAGACATAGCTGTGTGTTTGTTTTTCATACGGTGGAATAAAATTATTATACAAATTGTGAAAAACATGTAGTAATTTGTATGTACAACAACGTTAAAACTCTGACTAATTATGACCGAACTTCGAACATGAGGCTTAGTTAGTTACTAATATCTCCTTGGCAGCGGAGTTTAAATGAGGATAATTTACGATAATAACATAACTTGTAATGCAAATCAGTGATATGAGATTAAATCTGCAGTAAACGAATTATATTCATTTGATGAGCAACCTAGCCCCTATATTAACACCTCATGAACTCAGACCAGATTACGAGTATAATTTAAGCTAAGCCTAAACGATACACCATACGTCAGTACAAAATAGTATTTGATTAACATAGCTAGTTAATCAAAGCTAACATATAACTACATAATTTAAGCTAAATTAAAGTAAATAGTTTAAGTTAAGCCTAAACTGATATACTATACGTCAGTACAAAATAGTATTTCACATAACCACATTTATGCTCTCCCCCTGTGGCATAGCGGTATGTCTGTGGACTTACAATGCTAGAAACCGGGTTTCGATACATGTGGTGGACAGGGCACAGATAGTCCATTGTGTAGCTTTGTGCTTAACTTCAAAGAAACAAACAAACCAATTTTATTTAAGCTAATATCTAACTAGTTATTTGAAATTATCATATAACTAGTTAATTTCAGTTGTTATGGAACTAGTTAATCCAAGCTAATACATAACTACTTAATTTAAGCTAAATTAATATAAATAGATCGATTTAAGCTAAGCCTAAAATGAATATACTCTATGCGTCAGTACAAAATATTATGCTCTCCAGTG